TTTTTAGATAATTTTAAACAACATTATTTTAAGTTTGTGTATAGACGGAAAATAAAAATATTGTATCAATAAAACACAAACATGACGCAATTAAGATATAGAAATTTATAAATTATTGCTAAGTATTACAACCTTGATTTGCAACCATGGATCCCCTCATCTGTGTAGTTGTAATTCAAGTTTGGAAGCATCCTGCATTTCATGGTAGTTGTTATACATACTTTGCATGGTGTGCATGAAATAAATACATATAGTTCTCATCATGTATATCTGTCTGCATGATTACATTTGAGAACTGCTGGGCGGATTTGGAAGAAATTTGGTATAGGCATTATGTCATTGTGATCTACCCTAATATTATACTTGTGAGTTTCCTACAATTGGTAATACCAGTATGATGGGTGAAGAAACTTTTGAGGTGGGACTGGCACTAGCAGTACTTTCAATAAGCCATGCAATGATATAAGGTTATAGATTTGTTGGAAAATACAGAACTTTGGTGTAGTAATTCCTTTTTTGTGTTTAAAAATTTCTGCGTGCAGCATTAGGGAAGAAAATATTTGAGTTGACCAAGTTTGATCCCGTGACTCCAGGCATGCTGGTCCAGTATGCTGCTACAGAGCTAACATACCTTGCGACATATCTGTATTGATATACAGGACTTCTAGAAGAATTAAGACTATATGACTTGTAGATTTTGATTTTATATAAGTGGGGTATTATGATCTGTTGCAGTTTGTCCAAGGAATTGCAATTCTTTGGTTTTCTTTACAGATCTCTTTGAATCATTTAGTATCATACACTTTTACCAAACACAGTTGAAGACAACTTTCCTGTGACTAATTGCCTCACTATCCCCTCAAGATTTGAGTTTATTTGCTCATCTTTAAAAATAATTCCTTTTTTCCTTGTGATGTCATTTAATTTTTAAATATGATTTTAAGTGTGTTTAAATAATATAGAAATGTGCATCCAAATGAAGGTTCATATTAATAATTGTACTTTAACAGAAACAATGCACACTAGGTTGCATTCTGTTGGTAGCATACTGGTTAAATAAGCCACAACTGTTCCCTGTCCTGTCATGATACTGAGATATCTAAAAATGAAATAGTCAGCTTAATTTCTCTCTTTTTAAAACTTTAGGATTTGTATAATAGTGAAATTTGTGATGAGACTGTACCAAGTTGAAAACTTTATGATTTTCTGTTCATGTAATTTAATATGTATGCCTTTGAGTATGTGATTGTATAGTTTTTGACCTATAATAAGGTAGAATTGCTGGTTACTAAAATCTTATGGTAACTCTGGCAACACTTATCACTGTTTGCATGCTTGAAGTACATGTTGATATTTGATACCATGAAATCAATACCTGATATGATACAAGGCATTCTTGATTGTTGCTGTGTTATCAGAGTGTTTGTTACATGGGAAGCATCTGTGTGCAAAGCTTTGATATGCACATGCCATGGTTAGATTAGTATAGAACAAAAAATGAAGTTTTGTAGATTCCATCTAGCATTCCCTTGGAAGTACTGTGGATGACTATATGAAGCGCTAGTAAAGTCTGTGTATGGGTGAATATATGAACCAAGTACCTCCATGAAAAACAGAAAAGATGCTGCCAAATATTTATGCCTTGGTTTAAAATGGTCAGGTTTTGAGAATCTGTTATTATCCAATCTATTGAGTTGGGGTAATAATTTTTTAACATTTTAATGAATAAAAATTTAGTTCCTTGTTTCTGTCTTTAGTTTTAATTTTTTATAATTTGGTACATCCCTTCATACTTGGACATTCCATTTCTGCAGTTTTTAATTTTACTAACTTGTTGATTTTTATATTTTAAATCAATTTCTTTCCTTACTTCTTGTTTTAATGTTTTGTATGGTAAAAAGGGACTTCACTTCTGTAGATCTTCCATGGTTTCTGAATGACAGTTTCATTATTGGAAAACAGTAAAGTATTTGTGGATTTTTCCAGAGTTCAACAGAAAAAATAATTATGTTTTATGGTTCAGGTGTGAACATGTAGCCTGATTATGATTATTTTTAAATCCATTTAACTGCATGACATATTGTCTTGAATTGCATGAATAATATTCTGTACTTTTTCCAAAATGAAACTTTTGGACTCTGTTATAATTGTCCCCTGGACACCAGAGATATTGCATGACTTTTATATCTAAAAGTACTTCATTTTATGGTGCATTATGGATGCAGAATTTTGTAGTTTAAAATACAGAGTGTCCATGTTGTGAATAGTATTTGTTATGTAAATGTCAGGTTTTTGTATGGGTTATTCCTTATGAAAGTATTCTTTGTGGTGTGCTTTATAAAGACAACTAAATGGAAAAATTTCAGCATGTTTTTACTTTACAGGATTTCTACTTATGTGGGTGTTGGAATGTGTTAAATTATAGTAAAAGTGCTGCATGCAGTGTAATGGGTTGGGTTATATTTTCAAGAGAAATAAGTTACTTATGCCAACATTTTTCTGTTTGTGATTGAGCTTAAAGAAATTAAAATCTGAATTTAATTTTACTAATAACTTGTAAGCCTTGTGTATATATAGTGGAGTATTAAATAGTAAAAGGGAGCCATGTGTTTAAAAAATATTTTAAGAACATATTTCAGTCAGAATAATTTTACCATTCTATATAAATCACCCTTGCTTCTGATTGTTTGGATATTATTAGAAACCAAGATAATGTTTCATTGGCTTGAAGATGAGAGACCAAGTGATAGAAAGTGGGGTTTTGTTCATCGTATGAAATGTGTCATCTGTGATTCATTTTCTGATATGAAATTTGAATACCAGATTAATATCTGATACTTTAATGAAACTTAAATGTGGAAAACTGAATGTAAACTATGATAGCTTATTTAATTAATTTATTGGTTAGGTGGTTGAAAACATGATTTAGTTGTTGGCTTTTGTAAACACAGGTAATGTACCGAAGGCAAAATGGAAACTCTTTATCCTCTATTTGGCTTTCACTATGGCTTTTACTGCAACAGTTGCTTGATTAAGATATTATTTACAGTTCACAAGGCACATCGGGAGGAGTTGGAATGTGTCCTCCAAGTACTGGAGAAAGTCCTGGTGTATCTGCCAGAACTTTTGTCAAGAAGATGGCAGTGCCACAGTCTTACCCGCATTATGACAAAACTCTTGCATCCTGGAAACTCGTGGAAACTGAGACGCGAGGCTATAAGGTATTAATTATTTTTATAGTTTTCATTGCCAACCCCAAATGTAGTCATTTCTAGGTAATATCTGTCACATCACAATAAATACATTTGCTTGTAATGGGTGAAACTTTTATCTTTACCCACAAGACAGCTATATTTGTGCTTTATTTAATTTGTTTTTAAAAAAATAAAAAAAATGATTTTGTTTGTTTGCAGATATTTTCTTATGTGGTACCAGGCATTAGGTGACAATGCTCCAGAGACCCTTCATGCTATATTTGCAACACTGGTGCCAGGTTTTCCCTCACCTTTCCCTGGGCAGGGACTTTGTACACTGAATAGGAGTTCAACTTCTGTGTTTCATGATACTTCCCATGGTGAGTTTCACCTGGTTCTATTTGTGTGTAGCCTGTGTGATACAGTGAGTTTGTTGAGTTTAATTAAACATACTCTATAGCATATTACGTACAGATAAATGTAACTTTCTTCCCTGAACAGGGATTTTATCTTGTAACAGAATTAGGAAGCTACTGTTTTAGTGGTTCCACAGCGAATTTCATGACTGGGTCTTAAGGAAATAAATTCGAGGTTAGGAGATGATCAGATTGCCTTAATATTTTAGTACCATAGACATCATTTTATTTTTGCAGTGGTTATTGAAAGGCCTTGAAATGTTTTTGTTTCTATCAAATTGAACCTTAATATAAATGCTGTAAAACAGTGTATGCATTTAAATGTACAGTGACTTGGCTTTAATGTGCTCTTACTGAGTCAGCCGTAAGTTTCGAACCAAGAGCAATATAATGGCATAGGCACAGAGATTGAGAGTTTAACATCTTTAGTGACTGCAGGTCCAGTGAATGCTGTAGAGATTCAACCTCTGCTGCCACCACAAAGTGGAGAGAAGCAGCCAGATGATCCCATGAGATTTTTCCTTGATTCTGTGCTAGAGTTTATTGTTTCTCAGGTAAGTGAAAATATGCTGAGTTTACATTCTTCACAATGCCAGTTAAATAAGTAACTGAAAATCAGTTAGTATAATTGTGTGTACTGTCTGTAGGTTTTTATGAAATTTTGCGACAGTGTGTCACTTGTGTCACCTCTGTGGTGGAAAGATATAAATTGCTTCTCATGTTTTGTTTTGCAGGTTACAAAGGTAGAGTGGCGCGACAGGCTGTGCAGACAACACAAGTGCTTCATGTTCCTGTTTGAAAGATTCAAACAATATTATCTGCCTCATATCTTTCCCCAGTTTTCATTTGCTACAAGTCTCTACAAACCAGTATTAGGTATGTGTACTGTGTATATATATTACAGGAACCTGAAGAAAACTATTTTAATCTATATCTAAGATTATATCAAATATATGGCATACCGCAAAAGTCAAAGACTTGAAGATTCATTAAATAGAATTATATGCTTGCCTTGCTATTTTCAACACATTAGCACTGTTGTAAGTTTGTTTTGCATAATTTGCTGTTGGAGCTTTATAGTATGTCTGCATGACACTTTGGGGTGTAAGGGTTGGATGCATCCTGCAATCTTAACAGTGAATGTCTCTTGTGTGTTTATTTGGCCCATTGTTTCACAGTGAAATAAAATTAATAAAGACATTTATACCAGTTTAAATGAACCTCTGAAAAGGAACTTGAAAATCTTTTGATACTGTTAATTATGTAATACCATAATTAAAATCGGTGTGAATCAAGTTTAACTTTGTATGAATAATGTTCTTTTCAATATAGTATTGGTTTAAGTGGAAAATGTTATCACTGTGGGTGAAAATTGTACTTGTCTTGTTTCTGTTATCCATAAGCTAATACTGAAAGTCATGGTTGAGCAGTTGGCACTATTGTTACATTTTCAGGAGGTCCCAGGTTCAAATCTTGACCTGAGGTTTTTCATGGTTTTCAATCCCTCCATGCAAATGCCAGGATGATATGAAGTAGATTGTTATCAAGATTTCTGTCTTCATACTCACCGCTGTGAGAACCTCAAGTCTTACATAGATTGTTATCACTTCCTTCCAAGAATATTTCAATCCAGTAATCATCCTGTCATCCAATGCCGTATACTCAGAGCTATTAAAAGTGTTATTAAATAAACTACAGACAAACTGACTGACTCTGTAAAGCAATGTTATCCTTTGCACTGTACCCTTCATGATAAGCAGGAGGCCTACAATACAGGATATACATATAAAACATCTTACATCCAAAACTGAAGAATATTCCTGCTTTTTTTAGATCTCCCAGTGCTGAGGAAGGGTTCTCCTGGACCTAGTGATACTCCAGAGGGTCGGAGACGACAGGACCCTTTTGTTATCTGCAGAGTAGTAGTTATTAAATGGGTTGCCACTTTTACTCACATTACAAAGAAAGGGGATACACCATTTATGCATACACAGTCAAATAGGTATGTAGCCATCTGGATTTTATTTTTGTTCAACTGTCAGTGAGGAAAGTTTCAAGTTGTGTATTTTTATGGTTGAATTTTATTTTTGTAAGAACTGTACTTTTTCTGTAGAAAAAGGAGATTATTATTTCTCTTTTGTGTATTTATGAAGAAAATGAAGTGAGACTTTAAAACTGGTTACTAATCTTTGTCTTTCAAATGCTTTCACATCACTGGTGCCAGCATAAAGGAATATGATACCATTGTTACACTTTTTATTCTGTTGGCTTCTCTGCCGACAGTATTGCCTATAATGGGGTGAAGAACACCTTTGGAAGTTTAGTGTATTCCAAAGAGTACTTCTTTCTGGTTTTGTTTCATATTGCATCTGATTTTCTTTTTGTGTGTTTATGTTTTAGTAGTGTAACTCCCAGTGAAGATGCTGATCATTCCCCTGGTACAGAGCTCCGTCGTGTGAGTGTGAGCCAAGCTGGGTCCAATCATGATGCCACCTTGCCTGCATCAGATTCCAATCATTCCTCTGTATTCTCACACACAGAAGGTGGAAACCATTCACTGAGGTGAGCAGTAAATTTATGAGCTACAATGATCTGATACTTGATCTCATAGTAATCTTGTTTATTTCATTTTAAGATCATTATCATGTAATTTTCATTTGTTTAACTGTTGCATTGACATGTATGTAAAGTTATATCTATATCAGTTGAAGTTGATCAATATTTATGTCAGGTCATGATTCTTCTTGCTGCAGGGTGAGTATCATTTAGTACAGCTTTCTGAATCAGTTGTGGAATTCTGATTCTAGCTACCTTTGATTTATTTGTTCTAAGAGTGACAGTTTTGTATCAATTGCTAAAATGAGTATTAATGTGATGCATGTGGACTTCAGTCTCATAGTAACTTTAATTCCTCAGAGAAATGAAGGTACGGTGAACAGTTTGTATTAGGATAGTATTCAAGAATTAGTCAGTGATTAAGCAATGTTTTACTGAGGAGTGCAGTTATCTGACCTGGCAGCATATTTTTATTATGTGGGGCTTGTGCTCTGTTCTGCGCTTGAACAGACTCAGAGTAATCAGTTTTTTAATAGATTGAAAGTCTGTAAATTATATGGGGAGGAGTTATAAATTGTTTTCTTAAAATTAGAGGATAATAATTTTATCTGAATCATGGTGTTCTGGGTTGTGACATGTATTTTTGTGGGTGGTTACTAAAGTTTCTCTTGAACACTGGTAACCACTTACATGACAATACAACATCACATCTCAGAAGACCACAACTGACATTTTCACCATCTTCAGAACATCAAATCTCGGTTAAAAATTACTTGACAGATTAAATGAGTACTTTGGTATAATTTGTTATAATAATTAAAGCTTAATTTCGTCCAATTGTGTTTTCAGTGAGGATCCAAATGCAGCTGCAGTGCATTTAGTCCGTGAAGTCTTGTACAGTAATCGTGATAATGTCAACTTTGTACATGAAGTGTACCGGCAGGCGTTCCTTCTCAACTTTACTCATTCCCCTGCCATCCGAAAAGCCATTGCTGTTTACAAGGATTGGATTCAAATGAATGTAAGTAATTTGAATGTAATAAAGATTTTAAAGAGGTTTTAATGAACTTCAGCTAAGTATGTTTTAATAGAATATGAAGCTCACCATTGGATACAGTCCTGAGCCAGTTCCATGCAGTTGAAATCCTCACCGCCTAGTTGTCTAAAATATTCCCAATAAAGTGTTGTTAAGTTTTCTCACTTGTAAGCCTGTTTGTGCAACACTGTGTAGAACATTAGGTTTGTTGTATTCTTTGTTATTCAGGTTCCTGAACTGCCTTCCTTCATGCTGGAGCCTCTGGAAAGTCACAAAGAAGATTACTATAGAAGTGGTCCACCTTCCTTTGAGTACTCATCCATGGAGGTATTGTGATTTTATAATCCAAATGATAGTTCTATTAATGTTAAAATTAATATACGGTACTTGCTGGTTATCTGGACACAAAACGGGAGAGTCGAATATGTGGACTTGGATTGGACGGAAAACTGTGCATGCGTATCAGTATACCTGTATACTCGGTTGTTGTTGATCCGGAATCCGGTGCACACACCCAAACAATAGAAAGACTATGGGGATTGGCTAAATGGCGGAATAAAAAACAGAGAGGCACGGCCCGACATCATATGGATTCATATTTGGCTGAGTTCATGTGGCGGCGTACAAATGATAACGGCGATATTTTTAAAACGATTCTAAAATCTATAAGCGAATTTTGGCCTCTGGAGACAGGTTGTAACAACAATTAACATCTCATGCATATCCAAATAAAATATAATAATTTGTCATTTATTGAAATAAAATATAATAACTTTCAAGTATATGTCATTTATCCACACACATTAACCTAACCTAACCTATTTTTAAAGCGATGTGTCCAGATAACCCACAAGTATCTATAATATACTTCTATATTGCTGTTTTTAGAAATATGCAAAGAAATACAGTGATTATTTCTGTAAACAAATTGGTACAGAGATGTCTGTTTTCCAGGGCAGTGAAACATCCGAGTCTTATCGTGTAACTCGACTCAGGAATGATTCTTACCTTGGAGCAATTCACCGGGAAAATCTTCTAGTTCGAGCTGGCCTGCAGGTTTGTAACATAATTTTGTTATATAATGCAGTACACAATGTTTTCATAATACAGCAAAGTTTCCATGCATATTCTGTTGCAAAGTATCAACATAATGTAACAACAAATGTTCTAGTGTGGAAGTTAGCTGTATCATTGACTCTCGTTTGATTTGTGGCATGCTCAGTTCATGCTACTGGAGGTTTACCACCAGACATCAGTGTTACCTATCAAGTCATACCCTTGTTGCATTAAACTGTCATATTACAGCAGAATGCACGTGTGTACCTGGCTTTGAAGTAAAGGAAGGAAATTTAATGGCGAGACAGTGGAATTTTGACCATAGAAATTTAGCCTTGTATGTAGTATTAAATTAGAATTTGGTACTAAGATTCAAATACTTAAAAGTATATTGCCTGAAGAATGTATTTTGGTTTGATGCAGCAGGTACCATATATTGACAATGACTACTTGAATTTGAAAGTGACATGCTGTGATACTATATTGCTTAAATTTCAATTAATAGGAACAGTGTTTGACATCTAGAAAAAATAGGACACAAATCATTGATCTTGATATTTCTGAATGATAAATGTGTTTAGAAGAAACAGCTATGATCATTAGCCTATTAACTGTGAAAATTCTTTTTCAAATATGAAATTTTGAGGTTGTGGAATATATTTTTGTAGACCTTGGATTCTTGTCGCTTGGGAGGGTGAGGAATGTGTGAGGGCATCTGTAGTGTGGGATTCTGCTTACTCCTAAATGTTGGATGTTAGGTGTTAATGAAAAGTATAGATGGCATGCAACTATTGATGAAACATGGATGATTGTCATGATCCTGGTATATGTTAGTTCTTCCTAGTCTTGATCTTTTAATCTTTGATTTAGATGGCTGGCACTTCATGCAAGGCTCTGATAAATACACAGTTAAATGTAATATTGTGTTAGTCAGTGTGGGGATCAATATAAATGTCTCTTGGCCCAACAGAATGTACTGCAAGTGTTCATAACTCACGCAGCAAATGTGTTCATGCTGGAAGTTAGTCCAGAGTACCCTCTGCTACTCGAGGAGCAGGTGGACACATGTAAGCGGGTTCTTAACATATATCGCTACATGGTGATGCACACCCGCATGGAGTCCCGGACTTGGTAAGGATGCACCCTGTTTATGAATTGTCTTGTATGTGACAGCTATGCGGTTTCAATTGTTTGAAATGTTTTAATGTAGTAGAGATTATACAGACCAAATGTTCTATATTTAGTATAAACAGAAGAAGATAGGATCTGCATGTTTGTCCATTCTGATTAAGTATGGAATGCTTGAGGATGCTGTAAGTATATGTCCCCTCTCCCCCCATTTTTCTGTAGCTGCAGTTCATAAAGTAATTGGAATTATTCTTTTTGCCAGTGTGGAAATTTTAGTAAATTATTTGATTTATGTTTAAGTTGTCTTAATTTCAGGGAACAGCTGCTACTGGTGTTACTCCAAATTACATCCCTCATCCTAAGTAAAACTCCACCTAAACGCAAGGAGGAAACCCTTGGTGGGAAACTGGCACCAGCAATATTTCAGGTAAAATGACATGACATTTTTATTTTGCTATGCAAAATGGTGGCTCCCTTGCTTCATACCTTTGAGCTTTAGAGTTTGAAGTTGAAAAGCCACCAGAAAGTGAAATGGACAGTGCTGCAGTTCAGGTTGGAAAGTTACACAGGACTGGCCGAGATGTCCAACAACAAAGTGAACTCAGTTTTGCATGATATTGGGAATGTATGTACTCACAAAAAGAAGAGAAGCCTTATAACTACTGTTTCCAGTACCTATTACAGATACTACAGTTAGATCCAAATGGCAATGCAGTTTAAAATGAGATTCGAAAGACTTTCATCAACACTTGTCATATGAAAATGTATCTGAACACTCCAACTTGGCTGCTATATGTTTATGTTTTATGTTTCCTTATTGCAGACGTTGATAGTGACATGGATCAAAGCAAACCTTAATGTTGTCATATCTGCGGAATTATGGGATCAGTTCCTCATGGTTCTTTCGTCCCTCACGCAATGGGAAGAGCTGATACGTGAATGGGCAGTGAGTAGCATTTATTGTCTTCTTGCATAATAATGGTACAAAGTCAAACGTAAGTGCTCTGATGCTGAATGCTACTCAGTTCGCTTCCATTTGTGCATGTAAATGGTAGGGGAGGAGCCCCTGAGTCTGGTTCATCATCTGAAAGCAGAAGGGGTGTGAAGAACGATGTAAGGTGCATTGTTACTGTGCTTTAATATATTGCAATCATATATTCATGTGGAAATGTTAAAATGAGAGCAAAAGGTGTACTCCAGTTTTTGACATAAGCTTCTGTTTCACATGAATTTTGACCGTTTACACTGTAAAAATATATCTGTGAGATTTACAGGAAATTTGTTTTGCCCAGTATGTGTCCCTGTCACATTTGAAGGGTATCCTTTGCATTTAAAAAAACAAGTTTGTCAGTTGGTACTATTAAACATGGCAGATACAATGTCCTAAAAAAAATTAAAAATTGAAGGTTTAAATATTCACCATATTTACCTGTTTAACTATGTTGGACTTCAGCTAATTTAAAGAATTAATTTATTTGTACTTTATCAAAATATTTTCTGCTAATAATTATTAATCATTTCAGAAAACCCTGGAAACTCTGACCCGAGTGTTGGCTCGCCACGTGTATAATCTTGATCTGACCGATTTACCACTAGATAGACTAACGGAACAAAAAGCAAAGAAACGAAGAGGTGGCAAACAGCAGGCTGGAAATGGGGATCAGTCGCGGGCAAGCTTCAGCAGTGCAGGGAGAAGGGGAAGTGAAATGTCTTCACAGGGCAAGACTCTGTCTCAGTCACAGTGTCCTGTCCAGCCTGAAGATGGCTGTAGCAGTTATACCTCCCCTGGTTAGTTTTAATATTTCAAAGATTGATGTTTCTTGTTTGTACAAGTCTGATAATCTGATTAATGGCAAGGTGTTGGTCATCAGTGTGTCTTTTTTGTCTGAATTCTTTTCATTTTCTCCTTCATGTTTATCATCATCATTTGCATATTTCATTTAGGATTAGTCTTTGCAAGACAGAGGCTCAATTTTACTCTGTCCTTCCATAAATATTGCTGTTTTTCTAAATCCACTCGTTCCTTACTTTGTGTTCATTATCTTCTCTCTCATGATATCTCTGCCTAGTTCTCAGTCTCTTTGGTCAGTGATTGGTTCAACATTTTCATTTTTGACACTCCAAGGAATCCTACTTGTTCCCCATATGTCACAAGTCCATTCGACGCTGTCTTTCATTTGACCAGTTTTTCTCAAAAGTGTTTCTGCCTTAAGATCTCGTCTCATGTTCTCTTCTCTTATGAAGTTAGAATTTATGAAAATATTTTACATAATTCTTCTCAATTCCTTCATCTTTGTCTCAGAATGCATCATGATTGGAGTATATAACAAGTTTTGTAGGTACACATAGTTTGGCATTCTGAAAATATGAACAGAGAGACTTGTGGGTAGATAGTATACTGAAACGTTCGAGTCTGTTGACATAATATTTATTTTGGGAAAGATGCAGCTTAAAGATTTTAAAATTAGGAGTGGTGTGTATTTTTCTCCTTTTCCAGATAATGGACTGGGTTCATTACGTATCCATGGGAGTCCAAGGAAGCGTCGCGATAGCTCAGGTGATTCATCTCAGCGATTGCATTTGCCTCGAAGTGTGAGTGAAAGCAACTTGACGTATGGCCGAGGTGGTGCCCCAAGGAAGAGGGGGATCCATACATCAAGACCACAGAGTAATACAGTTGTCATTCCAGGTACTTGTATGTTCTGGCTCATCCCATTACAGAAACTGTGAGATGTCTGTTTTTGCCAAGGATTAAAATTATTTCTTGTTTCTTTTTGAAGAATCGAACACTAGTAGTGACAGCGTGGAAATTTATTTGTTTATGTGGGTCATACTTACGATTGTCTTCTTCTTCCTGAATTGTTTTATTGTCACTTATTGACTTGATAGAATTTGCTTTGTTTTTCTCAGTCTTCCTGTTCCTTTCACCTGTGAAATGTTTCATGGTCGTTTACATTTGTGTCCTGATTTAACTTGTGTATCTTAATGTTTCCTATGGGTACAGCGTTATTTATATCTACCAAACATTTGTTAATTTGCCTTTAATATTTATGTGCATTCAGCACTATAAGTTGCAATAATGTATATATTAACTTAAGTATGTATGTCTTTCCATGTGCAGCAACTGTAGAGGGCAGTTAACAGATTTTCATGGCATTTGATGTTGAGGTATTTTAAAAGTTATCAGCACATTCCAGTTTTGGTCATAATTAGACAAAAATTACAGACACTTTGCATGATGTCCTACGGGTATTTATCGACATGGAAGGGACTTATTGGCAGTTGCCTCAGAGAGAATTCTGAGCCAGCTGTGCAGTGATGTGGTGAAATACTCTGCGGACTCCTTAGTGATGATGTCATCATCAATTTATGTAGGTGGATATGCACCACCCATACAAAGGAATGTCTTTGATGTCAGACAACTCTGATATCTCTGGTGCCATTTGCTAAGTTCAAAGGTCAAATTCTGGTGAACATGCCAGAATTATTATGTTTCGCATACATTTCCTAACTTTTATGTATTGTAGTAGACTTTGTGTAAAGTAGATTATAAGCAGTTGTTTCATAAATGTTTCAGTATTGCCAATATCAGTTGAGCAAGAAGTTGCCCGTCTGATGGCCAGTCCTGAATCAAGATCTGTAAATTACCAGTCTCATAACAGGCTGTCCAGAAAGTCTCGTTCAATGGATTCCTTGCGAGGAGTTCGGTCAGGCACACCAATTCAGTATTCTGAATCAGAAGGACCAACACGTTCTCCTTCTCCTGCGGCATCGAGTGGTGTTGAAAGCAATTCTATCAAAGACTCTCCAATGCAAATTGATGTTCTTGGTGGTGGTGATGTTACAAGTTTAGATGTGCCAGATGGGGGCAGCCTGGAAAGGCGTTCAGTTATGGCAGGAGGTTCGGTACGTGGTTGGTTACCGGATGTAGCTGTAGTGCTTTGGCGACGTATGCTTGGAGCACTGGGTGATGTGAATCAGCTTATAGATCCAGCCCTGCACAATCAAGTTTTTGAGTATCTTGTGGAGCTGTGTGATACACTTGCCAAGGTGAGGGCTTTTTTTGCAGGATTACTTAATTCTTGTATTGTAACTGAAAACAAACTTTTGAGATAATATCAAAATTGGCTGCAGCGTGGATGGTGTCAGACTGTGGCTAGCTGCATCCAGTTTGCTCCGTCGATGCCCATCTCCCTAATATACATCGTAACGTTATCCTCCCACCTACACCTATGTCTTCCCAGTGGCCTCATCCCTTCAGGCCTCCCAACCATACTTTGTAAAACCCATCCCCCATGTGTGATGCATGTCCCACGTACCTCATCCTCCTTGATGTGGTTAGCACTACTGTCTTATGTTCAGAATTACCTGCGTTTTAACTTTGGCCTGGATAACAGCAGTGCATATTGTTTTATCATGCATTTCTCCAGTCCTGCCAGTTAACTGCTTGGTTGATATCTTAAAATGGGCTATTTAGACCATTTTGTTGTACATAACTATCCTGTCATTTTGTTTGATGACAAAGTTTCAGTAACTAAGAAACATCAAACAAACATTGACTGCTTACTGCTTATTTAATTATTTGTAAGAGAGCATCAAATGTTAGTATTCACAAATGTAAAGCTAGGGGCAATAACGAGCAAATGCACTACAGTCGTTATGCTGTTTGGACATTTTATTACTTGTTCAGAGTATATTTTATTATACATGATTTCTCTGATAAACATGTGGTGCTACAGATCCGTCTGAACCAGGGTGTATCAGGTGATAATCAGGTCACTCCGCCTCCTCCAGATCTCATTCCTCCTTTCAATATTATTGCACCATGGTGCTTTAAGGTGAGTGGTATAAATGTTTAAACAATAAAACATAAAACTTCAGACATAAGTTTCTCAGTTCATGAAATGCAGCTATAAAATATAATTCTCTGTATCCCTTCTTGAGAGCTAGTTTGTTGATAATTTGAAGATGGCTGTCTTCTGGGTTGTTGTGCCATGTAGTCCGGTAGAAGTTTACTGACATTTCAGAGGTCCTTTCTGAAATGTCAGTAAACTTCTACCGGACTACATGGCACAACAACCCAGGAGATAGCCATCTGCAGACTCGCTATCATGAAAACCTCAAATCTTACTTTGTTGATAATTTGTTGACCATTTGTGCTTAGTGTAGTTAAGTTAAAACAGTGAATTTGGTGGTAATTTCTCTTTCTGCTAAGCAACTGCTATTTAGGTATTGTGAGGCTGTTTGTTTCTTGAAAATTGAAGTACGTATGATGTACCTCTGTGCCCCAGATTAGAAAGGAAAAGTTCTGAAAATCAAATAGTTTTTATCGTAGTGCTATCTTTTATTATATGATTAATTTAAATCCATTAGTAAATGAGCTTAGCCTCATCCATGTTACTCTTAGTAGGCCTGCCTCAGCTTAGTTGGGTGCATTGGAAGGGAAGGTGTTAATTCTGTATCCCGTCAGAACTGCACTACTGTAGTTTGTTGATGTAAATTATTCATTGCGGTTTTTAGCTGTGGGTGATGGGTTTCTGGGAAATCTCCAGGCTACCTTGATTACTGTTGTCACCTTAGGTTAAAGATGAAAGGTCAAATTGTGGTGAATGCACCAGAATTTTTATGCTGTATATACATTTTTTAAGGTTTTGTTATATTTAACTTGTCTGTTTCAAAAGTATGAATTTCTTCAATAATTGGTTCTTCTCAGTTAGCTTGTTCAACTGTTTCAGTGTAGTTGAGTAATAGTAACTAATTTTTTCAGGCTCTTACACTTCCCAGTAGTTATCAAAAAGGTAAACTGTGTGCATACAGGCTTCTGTGCACCATGACTGTTACCCCACAGGATATTTCCTCACCTCGTGATCACCTTGTGCAGTTTTATAAAGTTTTGCACCAAGGATTAGTGGGGACAGATCAGGTAGGTACTTAACCATAAGTTATGTTACCATCTTCATTGTATTTTAGAAAGTGTAAACCTTTGTGAACTTGAAGTAACCGTGTAAAGCTTTTTGTGGTTCATGTTAAGACACCCTTGATCACATAGATTTTGGTTACCAGGGCCTAAAAAGAATTGTGGTAATGTTTTCTTCATCGTTGTAGGCTGTGATCAACACACTTATTCAGTTCACTGGACCTCGTTTCTTCTCACTTATGTTACCTGGCCATTCACTGCTTCTATATGACATTATTCATGCAGCCAATACCATTGTTTCATCATCTGATCTGCGTGGGGTAAGTTGAAATTGTGATGTATTATGTATTTCATAATTCCTTTGTATAACTGAAATAAGGTAATGCCAGCTTTTTCTACTGTGTTTTATTCAGATTGGATAATTGAAGTAACATAAATTGAGAGGGGATTTTTCAGAATATGAGAGAGTGGAAGTAATAGGGGAAGAGGAAAAATGCACAGGGATGACTTCATAAGATGCACTTTTTGTCACATGTCGTTAGGAATATCAAATCAAGGGGCATGTAGCAGGCTTAGGAGTATTGCATAATGTTTACATAGTTTTGTTGGAAAGCCTGGAAGGAAGAGACAGTATGGGACACTTTGATGCAGATGAAAGGATAAAATTAAATTGCATCTTAAAGAAACAGATTGTGAGGAGGAGACTGGATTCAGCCAGCTTAGGATGGGGTCTAGTGAGAGGCTATTTTGAACATGGTAATGAGCGTATGGGTTCTGAAAAAGGACATGGGATTTATTGAGATGCTGAGCAAATGTAAACTGTTCATGAGGGCACCCCTGTGGAAATCTTCCTAAAATGTTTCCACTTAATGTGGGTTGTCTTGACAACTATGCCTCTCTGTTTACCTAGGTCTAGTCACATCTCCTCCTTGAGTTAGTTGGTATGATTGGAATTATTTTCTTTATTATTTGTTGGCAGGTAAGCCAAGAGAATAGACTTGGAAACTAGAGCAACAGTATTGTCGGAATTTGCATAACTAAAACTCATATCTTTGATTGTTGTAAGTTAGAATGTGTTATGTTTTCATGTAGGAATAGAAGGCTCATGCATTTGCAGGTCTGGTTGCCATTACAGTGCCTTGCAGTATCAGGTCTGGCTCTCCTGATGTCATGGATACAAGTTATCTTCATGACTGATGCAACTGTGAAAAGGTTTTCAGAACTATGCCTATCTTTGGATTACAGACACCTCGAACAGAAGCAATGTCAATATTGGGTGCTCTTCTCTGCCTGCCAAACACTTTTGCTGAAATGCCTGTCCTCCAACCAAATGCTAGTGAGTTTACAGTGATGCCTTGTTCAGATGCAAAGGTAAGAACAGTGTTTTGTCTCTGTTGTAATTACTGGTAACTTTTAAATTTATGTAGCAATTTGGGGCCCTTTTTCTTTTTATAAATTTTATGATCTTTTATTCCTTTGTGCTACTTTTTAAGTGAATTTATCTTTATTCTATTAAAGAAAATCATGCTGAGCAGGTTTCTGCTTTGAAACTGTTAGATTTTTATGGTTCTTTTTTGAGTATGCAAATATCAGGATATTACCTTCAGGTAGGCCATGACCACTTCCTTTCTTATCCTACTTACAGAGCACTTCATTTTATGCTATTTAACTTCTGCAGGTAAAACAACATTATAAAATAACCTAGGAATGAATTCTACTATAAGAAAAATGTAAATAAATGTAATTATATTATGAAATAGTTCATTGATATGCATTTGATTGATTTATATCATGTTCCCAGGATCATATATTGAGCATATTGCTGAAATGCGGTAAACGTGAACCAGCCGGTCTAGCTCGTTGCATTGCTTTGTCCAGCCTTGGAATTTATTTATACCACGAGCTTACCCATGAAACTTTTTATCCAAAGATCAAGGAGGCTGTGAATGTTCTGTTATTGGCTCTTAGGGTAAGTACAAAGTATTATGCAAGTAATCAGAGTACGTGTTTGTAGATATTACTAACTTGTGCTAATAAACACCTGTCATTGCTGTAAATAACAACTCTGGCACATTTATTTTTCTTAACATAATAATATGCTGTATAATGGCTTGGTAAAGGTTTTCCATAATATTCTGTTGTTATAAATTTAGAAGAAATGTATTTTCCTGCATAAATATTATACTATACTGTGTAACTAAAACTTTTGATTATAATAGTGTCAGAATTTTTTAAAAATTCCATGACCGACTTTAGACCTGTAAGGTTAGTCATTGCGCTGTTAAATGTTATAGTCAAGTGGGTGGCATATTTGGCACGTTCTCATTCATGTCATAGCTCAAAGGCTAATGAATACAGATTCCAACAAATTTCACTTTTAATAGTGTATTGCAACAGCCAAAGAAATATGAATGGTTTTCATTGGATGGTAATAAGTCGCCTTAGGTTTAACAACTTTTTGTTTTGCCACAAACTGGGCTAAGTTCCTTCAGTTCAAGTAACTGCATGTCTTCTTTTACTGCATGAATATAACCTGGGTTAGATTTCGTAGCATAAACCGATGGCATGTGATATCTATATATTTTCTCCATGTATCTGTAGTAATGCATGATGAACTGGTACTTAAATTGTTTATTTTTTGGCATATTGCAGTTTTTATATTTTTAAAAGTGCTTCGTTAATGATTTTAAGAATTATATGTTTGGATTTTAAGACAGTGTCTTTGCAGGCATCTGCATCCCTTAATGTGTATTATATTCCATAAAGATCTTTGATTTACAAGTTTGTAATAAATATCACATTAGCAGTTATATTTTTTGAACCTCAATAATTCTGATGTGAAGATGTAAGACTTTTATTAGATGCAAGTGTATATGGGGTAGTATAGGAAGTGATTATAACATTCAGTTATAGAAATTATCAGAAACCTTTCAGGAATATTTAAAAATGTACCCGCAGTGGCATTACATGTCTTTACTTATACTTGCTCTATTAGTTGTCTTTTTTTGCCCTCAAAAACAAATTTGTTGCATAACGGCATAAACTTTTAAACCATCAACTTCAATCACCTGCTGTATATTTACTATTACTCTTCAAATTCATGAACCCTGTTTTCAGAAATTAAAAACTTTTGACTGAATTTTTTTATCATAGAAGCATCTTGTCCAGTTGTTTTACAATGGCGTGGGACTTGTGCGTTGTGGGTAATCTTTGAAGTCTTGCTTTGTCTCTTGCATTTTCGTGTCACAAACCACATTTTCTATAGTAGTTTTAAGTATAATGGTCATAACTTAATTAAAATCTGCTCGAGTTATATAGAGTCAGGATGTTTTTAATTTTTATTGTTTGTGTATATAGATTTTGCAAGTGCTAGAACTTGGATGCTATTAAGAAATAATTTGTACAGTGTTCAATTTTTCAAAATTAATATTGTTTAACAAACTGATTTTTGAGTTGGAAGGGATGTACGAAACACATATTGCAAGTCTGATTTATTCTGTCCATTTTGTACGTATGTTACTCGTACAACTTCATGGTGTGGTATTTAAGCACATGGACAGTTTTGCCTTTTACAATTACATGGCATCTGTGGTTGCTGTTATTGTGTACGTAAGAAGTGTAAAAATGCTTGCTGTTGAAGAAACACTTGAATTTACATGTGAGGTATGGGGAAACATACATGGCTGTTAAAAATTATATTTATTGAGTTTAAAACACAGTTCCCTCTTAATAGCATTCTTGTTTTTGCCTTTTTATTGTGATATGTTATTATGTTTCATTTTTTATTTCTGATCCAGCAAAGTTATTCTCAGCCTGGCTACGCAAACAAACCAACTGATAGTAAGGTAGTAATGCATTTGTTTCTTTTAATTTTGTATGTGCTTTGCTTTTGTTGCATTGCTTTATGTGTCGTTTTACAGGAGTATGGTGCATTTTTTGTTCAGTTTTGTCGATAGCAGTTTCCAGTGCATGAAAGATCGTCATCTTGAAGAAGAATGTTAGAGCTGGTAGTCATTACTTTAAAGAATTTGGCAGTAAACCTCTGAAGGTTTACATGGTACAAATTAGCTGTGATAGAGGTCTCCATTTATTGTGTGTTCAGCCTTCCTTGCACCTTCTCTGTCAAATATGCTGAAGAAATCTATTTTTCAGTCAGATTCCATTAATCATATAGGTAGGATGATATCTGGTAGACGTAGTTTGTGTTAATGTAGGCTCTGGGCCACATTCCCCATGAACTTTATCTTTGTGAAAGATAAGGGAGGGAAAGCATATGGAAAAATTAGTGCTGGATGTAGCCAGTCTTGACTTGAAACCTTTAGCTTGGATGTGGTTAAATATAAAGAGAGAGAGACATACGAGAGGAAACGGTTTTTAAGAAACTTGTAGGAAGATGGAGATTCACTATGTCCATCCCCCCCAAATTGGATGGAGTTGTTTAGAGATCGTTTTGTGCATAAATGTATTGTATATCTTATTAGGATCCAGGAATTTCTTCACTATGTGCAGACTTTTATTAATCAGAAGTTTGTCTTCAGACGTAAGTTATTATCTGTTAATTTGTATGTTGTTAGCATTATGTACAGCAAGCTTTTTCCTGTATGCTGTTTTGTTAATTATACTAAGCAGTGGCAGTAAAAGTACTATACTTCTTGTACCCCAGTTTGTCTGGTGATTGGAATTTATTTTCTCTGTGTAGATTTTCTACAAACTTGTAAAAATGTTGTTATATTCTGAATTTTAAAATGTAATTTGACTTGTTCTTTGTGATCTGTTTCTTTCGAATTATGCAGCATGATTCAATATATATCTGAAAATAATAATAATATTAGTAACCATCATTTGAATAAGTTAATGTGACAGTGCAGCAATATGAGGAAGGGAGATGTTTGTGTTGGTATTCTGACTTGTAATGCCATATGGACTTGTAGGTAGATACCAACATTTTGTCTTCTGAAATGCTGATATCTGCATACAAGTGCTCATGGTATTACAACCCAGAAAATCAACATTGGGTTTATGTTTGCTGGTTGGAGTGTGGCAATATTTGTGCTATTTATTTACCTTAATATGTTAATTATTAACTTTATAATGTGCATTGCTTTGTCACAGTTTAACAACAAAATAATTGGGCAGGTGGCATCTGACATCTTGCTGCTTCTGTGTGATCATGCCGATCGACTCATAGAGCGTTATCCAGAGATCCCACCTCGGATCATTGAGGTAAGTTTGAGGAAGAATTTCATATTTAAGAGAAACAAGAATAGTGACAATTTTGAAGCATGTTTAGTCAGTGGTAACATATTTGACTTGTGTTTTGGAGGGAGAAGGTTTAAATTTGAGCAATGGCGCTGATTCAGCCTTTTTGCATGTTAGTCCTTCCAGGTGAATGGTCATGTTAGTACCTCTGAATGGATTATAACTACTTCCTATTCATCTTCCTCTCATTTGGTGGTGCATAACCTCACGGAGGTTAGTGTAGCATTGTTCAGTAACCTAAAAATAAGGGTTAAGTGGCTGACTGTTATGAACATGGATTGAGCCTTCTAGTTCCATGGAAAATGTACATTTCTTGACTAAGTAAATGACTCAGTTTCTGTAGAAGAATTCTGCTCCATGAGGTGAGTTAGTTAGATCTCATATGCATAAATTACATGTTTTCCCTTCAGTATAGCAGAAACGTGTGTTCATTGTATTCAGAGACTGTGAACTTCTTTCCAGGTATTAGCACTGACGATATCTCATCTGATGCCGCAAAGTATTGTTACGATGTCAGAGCGAGACAAGCACCTTCTCACTTCTCTCATGTTTTGTCTTGGAGAGTGGTGTATGAGGATTCCTGCAAATTGTTTGCTTGCATCGTACAATGGCTCCTGTCTTCTGCTTACAGTATTCAAGGTAATGTTGAATCTCGTTCAGCAAGATTATTACTGTACCTGTGCTTCTCAGCCATTTTAACAATTCTCTTCAATTTTTCTTCCCTTCTCTGTTTTATTTGCTTTCTTGCTTCCTCCCTCTTTCCGCTTTTTCTTTTCAAGATTTAAGATGTAACACAGAAAGAATGGTAGATAATCCATTTGAATTTTTCATGAAATGTACTAGCATGGTTTTTTTTTATTATAAAATTTACTGCCATGGACAGCATCATAGCTGTCTTGATTGTCTGGCTTTAAAATCTTTTTGTATGTGTTTGGTGCAAACTTGACATTAGGAAACTGTCGTAATTTGGTATTATTTGGAATGAGTAGTGCATGTAAGTACCTCAACATTTATTGAATTAATGTCAGCCTTCTGGTGTTAAGAATTTTGAATCATATTAAAGCATCAGTCCTGTTTCTTTCCAGGTCCTAAATCAGTTACGGAGAGGTACCAGTGGTTCAAATGACAGTGGCTCAATTGGTGGTTTGTTTCAACCAGACTTTGTACAAGATTTTGATCCTAACATCCTACTGGATGATTTGAAGGAAGTGGCTACCCCACCTGTTGGGCGCCGGTCATCAACAATGACACATGATAGTGGAACCCCATCCCACCATCACCATTCCAGCCAGTCTGTCCAGATGGCTGCAAGAATGGTACGCTATGTAACTTGCACTTCAGTTATTGATATGTGATACATTTAATTTAAGCCCTTGTGCGCCTCAGGTTGTCTATTAGAGTGAACTTTAGTTTAACCATTTATGTACTTGGTTACTAGAACACATTTTGTTGCAAGCTATTTCACTGCTTTGACTAATGATTGTCGCACAGTGTTCATGTGTGAATGACTTGAACACAGATTGACTTAAATTATTTTTTCCATTGTTAAATTTTTCTCCGTGTATTTAATATAAGCTGATCTCATTTTATGGTAAATTGTATGTTGGCTAGTATTTTGGTTGTCATTTTTGATATAATATATATTAATTAACCTTTTAACATGTAAATGCAAGGTTATGTGTGTTTCTAGTTGGGTTGGGGGTAGGGGGTGTAGGGGAATAGGGGACCAGCATCACAAGATTCAAACTTAGGCTAACAAAATATAATTTATGCTTTGTCATATTAGACTACAAAAATATAATTATCATGAACTAATAGTGGTGAGTGACTCTTTAGTAGTAACATATGACAGTGAAAGTAAGTATGAAGAAGACGTAACAAGTGGATGCTGCAATAAAGCTTGATCATGACTCCAGCACCTTTGGAATTCTGATGATAATTATTTTTTATCTAGTAAATAGTTAAGCCATTCTGTAATCCTGTGTTGACAAAACACACAATGTACTGACAGTATACAGTGAAACCTCTATCCATCGTTCCCGGAACTATCGTTTTCCCGGATGCATCGTCCGTTTTGTTCGGTCCCGAATACATCCCATATAAAATAATGTTACATTTTCCCGCTTCTATCGTTCCTCGAACTATCGTTTTATCGCATCGATCGTTCAAAAATCTTAGTCCCGGCCCACAATTTTCCCGCAATGATCGTTCCTGAGAATTTAAAATGCTGGGTTTAGAGATAAATTAATACCGAAAGACGCACAATGTTTTTGGAATAAACAGTAGCGGTAACCTGTTATGTCGCCCAACCAGCACATTCTTTTGGAATGAGGGTCAGCGGTGCAGGGGTGATAGTTGGAGTGAATGGCGGTGCCCATTGTCAGAAATTTTACGATTTTAATTAGGGTGCACTCATATTTCGTTCCAGCGATGCCAGATGGCATGTGCAGTGTGAATTTCTTCACAAATGCTTTTATTACAAGGACAAAGGAAAGGC